CGCGCGGGGGGACACGGGCTTGGCGTCGCGCCGCTCCCGCCTTTACTAGTTTGGGGACCTTTCCTCTCCCAAGAAGAGACTAACTAAATCTGTTGAAAGAAGAGCAACGCACCAAATACTCGCGGAACCAAATTCTGCTTCACCCGCCGGGACTGGGATTGCACAGCAGACTCGACTTTGGGGGACTTAACCTCGGCTAGGGACAACTACGCTCCCGCTGCTCCAGGGAGTCCCTCTGACCTCCCTGCCCCCGCTCGCCCCTCGCGTGTCGGGACTTGTTCCGGCGCTCCGGCTTCGAAAGGCACGCAGCCTCCGCGTCCTCCGGGGGGAATCTGTGTCGCCTCGGGATAGTGGCATTTGATGCCCGCAGCGTCGGGGCTGGCAGCGCGCGGGCCGGGCGGCTCTGGAGCCGGCTCCTGGATCGCAGGCCCGATCGATGCATTTTTCTGAGTGAGTCGGCGGCTCCCTCCCACCCACCTCGGCCGTTTTCTCCTATCCTCCTCCTCTTCCTCTCTGGTCTCCTCCCTCCTCCGAGTCGGCTTGCAAATGGCTTCGTTCCCCGAGACCGACTTCCAGATCTGCCTGCTGTGCAAGGAGATGTGCGGCTCGCCGGCGCCGCTCTCCTCCAACTCGTCTGCGTCGTCGTCGTCCTCGCAGACTTCCACGTCGTCGGGGGGCGGCGGCGGGGGTCCGGGGGCCGCGGCGCGCCGCCTGCACGTCCTGCCCTGCCTGCACGCCTTCTGCCGCCCGTGCCTCGAGGCGCACCGGCTGCCGGCGGCTGGCAGCAGCGCGCCGGGAGAGCCCCTCAAGCTGCGCTGCCCAGTGTGCGACCAGAAAGTAGTGCTGGCCGAGGCGGCGGGCATGGATGCGCTTCCCTCGTCCGCCTTCCTGCTCAGCAACCTGCTCGACGCCGTGGTGGCCACGGCCGACGAGCCGCCGCCCAAGAACGGGCGTGCCGGAGCCCCGGCGGGCGCGGGCGGCCACAGCAACCACCGGCACCACGCGCACCACGCGCACCCGCGCGCATCCGCTT